GCTGCGGCCACCTTCCTTTCCTGCCCGTGGCTAGAGAGCCTCCCCAGTGCAACCCACCGCCTCTCCTCTCCTCTCTGCCGGGATTGCTGCCAAGGGTCTTCTACGCATGCTCCGTCCCATGAGGACGCTAGAAAGTCGCCGAGCTGCGGTGGTGGGGGAGCGTTTGATCGGGGGGTGGGAGAGGCTGCGTGGGTGCGTTGAAGGGCGAGGTGGTCGGGGATGATGGGCACGGCGGAGGCTGAGCGGAGGCTGCAGTGAGCAAAGCGGCCCGTTTCGGAAGCGCCAGGCCGGGCGGGGCTCTTCGAGGTAGGCGCCCCTTCTCCGAGGGAATCCGAAGAGCCTCTGGGACACGTTTTCCCATCGCGCCCTTGGGATGGAAGCTGGTTTAATTGTGGCTTCTGTGCCCTGGGATTTCCCTTGGTCTGTCCCAGAATCCTCTTCGAAGTGTGGAGGCGTTTCTGGGACGGGTAGAAACAGTCGGCAATAAACTTCTTACGGTCGGTTCGCGGCTCATGCTTAGCAAGCAAAATGTGCACTGCCAAGAAAAGTCAACAGGAAGAGCTGCTTGTCTAACCAGACCTTTTTTCCAAGTGCTGATTACAAATGCGGGTCACTCACGGGACCCTCAGACAAAGAAGGGAGGGTCCGTAAGGGAGACTCTTAAAACGAACTAAGCCCCCCATTAACAGGCGGTGACCGTCGGAAGGGGGAAGGAAGGTGGCAGCCCCTGGGGGCTTCTTGGCTGAGAAGGCAAATGTGGGGGTGGGAGATAATATACCCTCCTTGGCTGTGAAAGCAATGCCATTTCTTCTTCCTTTCTCAGGTCCTGAGTAATAAACGGTGTGATCTTCTGACCAAAAGTGTCCAGCCCATCTCAATTCGCTGATGCCATAGATGTCAGTGTTTTAGGTAAATTAAGAGGGAAGTCAAGGAAGCCATCAATCCCTCGGTTTGCAAAGATAGTGAGATGGGGATAGGAGACAGAGAGAAGACTGAACTGCTTAATTGCTGTCTTTTCACACCATGGTGAGGGAGAAGAAAAATGCAATTCAAAATAGGCAAGGGAGTGGAAAGAGAAGTTGTAGCTGCTCTGAAAGAATTCAAGTATCTGGGACCAGATGAGTTACATCCCAGGTGCTAAAGAAAGTGATGGATATGATTTCAGAAGCACTGACTATAATCTTTCAGGATTCCTGAAATACAGGGAAAGTGCCAGAAGACTGGAGAAGAGCCACAGTTCCAGTCATTAACATAGGGAAAGAAGTGGAGCCACAGAACTACAGACCAATCAGTTTGACATCAGTACCTGGGAAAATCCTAGAAAAGATAATGAAGTTGTGCAAGCAGTCAGAAAGGAACACACACACAGCATAGGATAGTTCTATATGTTGTTGGAGAAATTCCCCCACATTTATTTAAAATGGACACCTGTCCAATGAAGCAGAAATAGTTTGTTTTGGTACTGGAGGCAGCAAAAAGAAACTTAAAGAGGGTGGAGATGCAAGCTGTTCATATAGTTAGGCAAAATATAATCTACATATGATTGACCATTAGGACTGGGTTAAGAATACATGTGATTGAGGCATGTGTTAACGAGGTCAGATATAACCAGAGTCACGTGGTATATAAATTTGATATCTCATTATTGTGTGTGGAATCTATGAATTATCAATAGAGGTGAATATGTGTAGCTCAGGGTTGCACTGTAGAGTCCTTGGGGTTCTCTGAGCTTGGTTCTTTTCTTGCAAACGTTTCATTAGCCGGCTAGGTAACATCTTCAGTGCTAAAATGGGATGGGGTTTGCTCTCTATTTATGTGCTGTGGGCTGCCTTGCCAGTGCTGGTAAAGGTGGGGGGTTTTGTTTTGTTCCTCTGGTAGTTCTTTGACAGGCAAAAAATGCCAGAGCTTAACATTTGGTAGAACAGGGATGAAGGCTTAGATTCTATGAAGATCAGAATGGGGCAGTGAAACTTTATGGAAGCAAAAGTTGAAGAAGCAGGAGAGAGAATATCAACACTTTTCAACTTTGGTGTTGGAGAAGACTTGAATATACCATGGGCAGTCAAGAAAACCAACAAGTGGCTCATATAAGAAATCAACCCACATTTCACACTCAGGGTAAAATGACAAGGCTCCATTATATTTTAGGAACATTACATGAACACCTGACTCCACTGAGGAATCTATAGAACTAGGAAAGATGGAAGAGGAACAATGAGGCAGATGGATTCCATTACAGCAGCAATGAGTGCACCACTGGGGGTCCTGAAGGGCCAGTGCATTCTGGACAGGTTTTGACTGGTGGTTGCTAAGAGTTGGCACTACTTTGATTGCACATAATCAGTCAATCAATCAATCATTTAAATGATAACCTGGTTCAAACAGCACCATTTTATCAGCAATAACATGGAAATAGTTTGCCACTGCTGTGTTCAGATATATTTTTTCAATTTCCCAGTCTAACCTTGTTTTGCCCCAGCCAGGTGTGACAAAAAGGTTCAGGCAATAAACACACAAATACGGTAAAATCTGAAGCAATTTATTGAGCAACGCAAAACAATAACTGCTTTTAGCTGCACAGTGTAACGTAGACAATAAGATAGTCACAGACAAGGCAATAAAATAAATAATAGCTATATTCAGGGAACACATGAGGAAAAGACTCCAGAGCCAAAGATGCACCTTTACATCCTTCAGCTTCATTGTGTCCTCCTCAGAGAGCACTATGAGTCTTTGGTCTTGGGATTCCTGGTGATCTCCTATCCCATCTCTAACCTGGGCAGACCTTGCTTATCTAGATAAGGTTGACCAGATGCCAGAAATTACCCAATCCCATTTCAGTCTCACCTGAGTTGTTACAGGAACCCAGCTAGTGGGTCTATCCATCCAGAATCTTCCACATCTAATTCTAGTGGATCCCTCCTTTCTTGTTTTATCAGGCTGGGAGAATTTATCTGATCTTTCTGCATCAGACATAATTGTGTATCTTTTATCTTCCAACCTCGGTCTTGCTTTCTAATCTAAGAAGCCCCAAATACTTACTTTCTAAAGATTCCAGCCTGTTACTAACCAAATTTCAGTGCAACTAATGGGGTGAACCCAGTTCGGGGGTCAGCTTCTGGTTCAATAGGTTGTGCAATCCCTGAAAATTGGACTGGGTAATCTGGCAAGACAGTTTCATGGAAAAGAAAGGAGGAGAAACAGAGGAAGAGATGAGGCCAAAAAGGATGAAAATAAGAAAAAAGATGGGAAAGTCTCCTTAACAGACCTTTTTTGGAGTTCTCTGAGCTTAGGGCAACCAGCACCCAAGTGCGGATCTTGTTCTTTGTAGATCATGTTTTTGCCTTGTGTTCCAGTAAGGCTTGCTCAGCACAATGGTTCAGACACAGCGAATGCCTTGCTGTATCCAGTCTGCGTGCAATTTGAAATCTATGGGGCTGGTTGGTTAGAGGCTTCTTAGGAGGTATCCTCTGATTGCACAGAGGAAGCCTTGCTAAAATGCCTTAAGGTCAGAGAACTGCCAAAAAGATTCATATGAAGGACCTGGGCTACCATTACTCCAGAGATCCTTAACATCTTTCTCTTCCAACCTGAATTCCTAACCCTTTTTTCTGATTGTTGACTGCCCAGGACAGATGCTTTTGCGAAATCATGGAAGAAATTCATTTATACAATTTAGAAAACTCTAAATCAGTGGAGATATGAGGTTTTGGGCAATGTGGCTTGGGGTTACAAAAACATGCAATTTGGAGTTATATTTAGCTTTGTTGCAGCCCTAGACATCTGCAGCAAGTCCTAAAGTCTTACACAAACCTCCCTCCTTTATGAATGCAAAAACATAATTAAAAATTATACACCTCCTCTTCACCACTCTTTAGCTATGCATTTTTCCTCTTCTTCTTCTACCTTCTATAGCTGCCACATTATCATGCCCAGCCCTAAGTTCATTTGACCACAGACCCAGCATTCAAGCCCTACTGAGGTAACCTCCTTTTGTTCTCCATATCTGGGGTACAGTATGTGCAGAAAGTGTAAGACAATGGTGCACATTCACTGACTCACCCATTCTCTCATACATTTCCATGGTAGCTTTCCTGTATGGGTCATCCTATGACAAGAATGTCATTGATTCACCTTCAGCTCTTTCCACATATGAGCCCTTATAGCTTTTCTCCTGTGTGGATGCTTGGATGGTAAATAAGACTCCAGCTCAAACCAAAGATCACTGCACATTCCATGTAATGATAAGCTTTCTCCCATGTCTGGATACTTTGATAATGACTAAGTTGACTATT